TGACTGTTACACTGTGAGGCTCTGGGTCTTGTTTAAGTCCTAAGGAGAATGTTGACGTTTCTGTTCAGTAAGAACTTGGTTAGGTTGAGGCTTCAAGTTCCAACCCACCTTCTTCGGGCTGCGGTTCCAGTATGGAGAGTCTTTGCCGTGATTTCATCAACTGTAAAATGGGATTGATACCTAGATCACTGGATTGCTTGAGGACTGAGAAAAGTAACACATGTAATGAACCTAGCATATTCGACATTCCAAAGAAATTCTGGTAGTCTTCTTCTCATTAAAAAAAAAAAAAATCAGTTTTATTGAAAAATAATACATAATCAAATACACATATTTTAAGTAGTTAGAGGAGATGAGTTTTGACAATTGCAAATACTATGTAAGTACCACTCCACAATCAAGATATTATGGAACATTTCCATCACACCAGAAAGTTTCCTCATACCCCTTTGCAGTCAACCCTCCACCCGGAGTCAATCCCAGGCAACCACGGATCCAACTTGCTTCACATAGATAAGTTTTGTCTGCTCTAGAACTTTATGTTAATAAAATCATATAGTCTGTACATTTTCTGTCTGGTTATTTTCATTCAGCAAAATATAATTCAATTAATCCATATCAGCAGTTTGTTCCTTTTTATTGCTGGCTAGTATTTGTTATTTTACTGGGATGTTTTTCTATTATTGGTTGAAAGAGTTCTTAGGTATTCTTAATTTGAGTACTTGGTTAGATAATGTATTGCAACTTCTTTTCTCAGTCTGTACATTATTTTTTTAGTTTCTCAAGATTTCTTTCAAAGAGCACAAATTTTTAATTTTTATGAAGTTCAATTAATCATTTTTTCTTTTATAGTTATTATTTTTTGTGATCTAAAAAAAAAATTTGTATATGCCAGGGGGACAACGAGTTTCTTCTTTCTTCTAGATTTATAGTTTTAGCTTTTATGTTTCAGTCTATGATCCATTTTGAATTGACATTTTTGCATATAAGGTATGTGCTGAGGTTCATTTTTTCCCTATTCTGATTTCCAGTTGTTCCGGCACCATTTGTTAAAAAAAAAAAATCTATCCTTTCTCCTGTAATTACCTTGGTAGCACTGTAAAGATCAATTAATTATATTATATGTGGGTTTAGTCCTAGATTCTGCTCTGTTTCATTTATCTTTATGTCTATCTGTAAACTTATAGCTTTATAATAAGACTTGAAACAAGGTAGTATAAGTTCTCTAATTTTGTGGGTTTTTTGCAGAATTGTTTTGGCTATTCTAGACTGTTCATTTTTCTATATGAATTTTAGAAATAATCACTGAGAGAAGTTAAACTCATGGATCCAAAACCACATTTGTCCAGGCTTTCTGTCTAGGGGCAATTTGTAAAATCTTAGTAATTTGTTAAGGACTTTTGTGTCTATGTTCAATTCTATGTCTTAATGTCTTTGCCTAGTTTTTGTATCAGGGTAATGCTGTTCTGATAAAATGAGTTGGAAAGTGTTCTTTCCTATTTTATTTTCTAGATAAGTTTGTGTAAAATTGATATACTGTTTCTCAAAATTTTTGGAAGAATTTACCAGGAAATTCATTGGGATCTGGAGAATTCTTTGTGGGAAGGTTAACCTAGTAATGACATTTTGAAATATAGATACAGAGCTATCCATATCATCTATTATTTTTGAGGTTATTTTTTTCTTGCAAGTGATTTGTTCATTTTATCTAAAATATCAAATTTATTGGCATAAGATTGTTCATAATATTCCCTTATTAGCCTTTTAATGTCCACAGTATCTATAGTGATGTCCCCTCTTTCATTCTTGCTATCTGTAATTTATGGTGTCTTCTCTCATTTTTTTCTAGGTGTCTGCCCAAATCTTTTAACTTTATTATTCCTTTAAAAGAACCACTTTTGGGGGTTTTTGTTTTCTATTTTATTATTTTTCAATGTAATCGAGTTTTGCTCCATATTATTTCCTTCCATTTGCTCGCTTTGAGTTTCATTTACCCTTCTTTTTCTAATTTCTTAAAGTGAACGTCTAGATTCTTGATTTGAAACCTTCCTTGTTTTCTTGTATAAGCATTTTATGGTAAAAAAAAAAAATTCTCTAAGCAGTTTTTTAGTTGCATCCCACAAATTTTGACATGTTCACATTTTATTTTAAAAATATTTTTAAATTTCTCTTGTGACTTCCACTGTGACCCATAGTTTGCTTAGAAGTACATAGTTTGATTTCCAAAGTTTTCACAAATATCTTCCTGTTATTGATTTCTAGTTTAATACCTTTGTGGGCAGAGAAAATATTTTGTATGACTTTAATCATTTTAAATTTGTTGAGGTTTGTTTTACGATACAAAATATGGTCCATTTTGTTGAATATTTCGTGTACATTTGAAAAGAAGGTGTGTTCTCTAGTTATTTGATGGAATATTCTATAAATATCAGTTAGGTCAAATTGGCTGATGGGATTGTTCAGGTCTTCTTTTCAATAGTTCCCAAATTTGCCTGCCCTCTTGGGAAATGACCTTCATATCTTCCAAAGCTATCGATGCCTGTATCCTAACCCCAGAGATTGTGATTTAATACATCTGGGGAATAGCTTGCTCTTTGGAATGATTAAGAGATTCCCAGGTGATTCCAATGAGCAGCCAAGCTTGGAACCTGCGTTCTGTATCCTGATTTTTCGTATATTTGTTTTACAAACTACAGAGAGGGGAGTGATGAACTCTCCAACTGTGGTTGTGGGTTAGTTTTATTCCAGTTCTATCAGTTTTTGCTTCACTGCTATCTTACAGCATCATTTGGATTTTGCATCTTCTTAACAAACTCACCCTTTCATCTTGTTCTAATATGAATTTCCCTGATTGCTAGTGGAGATAAACATTAATAAAAACCTTTCCGGCCATTCAGTTTTCCTCTTCTGTCAGATGCCTATTTACGTTATTTGGATTTTTAATCTTAAATTGTCAGAATTATTTATATTTTCAGAGATTTACTATATTCTCCCAGCCTGCAGTTTGTTTTTAAACTGATTTTAAAAATGTCTGTTTTTAATACTCTTAGCTCTTTTGCTTATAAAAAACCCAAAGTTTAAAATCTTTTCCTTAATGAATGGTGCTGTTTGTTTCTGGTTTAACAAATTTTTGCCTATAGTGATGTCATAAAGATACCTGATTTCTAAAAGTTTAGAGTTGTGTTTTTTCACATTTCATATTTATCTCACTTGGAATTTAGTTTTATTTGTGGTGTGAGATCAGGATCTAATTCTGTATTTTTCATATGAATAGGCACTTTAACTAGAACCATCATAATTTTTCTTTTCTAGAGCCAGTTAACAAAGTAACTACCATTACACTCCCACAGGTAATGAACAGGTCTTTCCCATGTCACTAACATGTACTCCTTATCAGACACCTTTATTACATACAGACTTCTAGGTACAGGTACTCTACTTCTAATTTTTTTTTTTTTTGGTCTATTCTTGTATCAGCGCCACATTTTTAAAAACTACTTTTAAAATAATTACCATATGATCCAGTAATTACATTTCTGGCTATATACCCCAAAGCATTAAAGGCAGGTTCCCAAAGAGATATTTATACACACTATGTTCATAGCAGCATTCATAATATCTAAAAGGTGAAAGCAACCCAACTGTGCATTGATGGATGAATAGATAAACAAAATATGGTATAAACATACATACAATGGAATATCATTCAGGCTTAAAAAGGAAGGAAATTCTGACACATGCTACAACATGGATGAACCTTGAGAATGTTATGCTAAGTGAAATAAGTGAGTCACAAATAAAAACGAATATTGTATGATTCCTCTTACATGAAGTAGTCTCTATGAATAGTAATAATATTCTAATATTCATAGAGACAAAGAATGTGGTTGCCAGGTGCTGGTGGGGGTGAAAGCTAAATGGAGAATTACTGTTTAATGGGTATAGAGTTTAAGTTTTGCAAGATGAAAAGAATGCTGGTGACTGGTTGAAGAACAATATGAATATACTTAACATTACTGAAACGCACACTTTTTTTTTACATAGATTTGTTTTCATATAGTCCTGAAAAAAATTAATGCCACTTGTCAGCAAACCGTGTCAAAAAATAAAAAGTCAAGATACTAGGTAAATGTAAGGCTCACCTCTACAACTCAGGAGAATGTGCCAAAGCCAAAACAGTGAAGTATTACTACGTTGTACTCGACAAATACTAAAAACAAGCAGGATGTGCTTTTAGTCAAATGCAACATCCCAAGGCCTGGCACACAGCATTTCACACTGCGTGTATGACCGTGAGCAAGACATTTGTTTACTCTTTCTGTGGGTTGCTGTGAGGATCAACATGGAATAAGGTGAGAGAAAGCGCTATATGCCAAAGTACTAATAAGGTATTTTCTCAAATCTAAAACATCATTAAATGGTCAGGTCCACTATATATCTTATAATAATCTGGGGAGGGTGTGGAGAGGAATCATCCACTAATCCACTAGAGGTACACTTATGAGCTTTCCGACTTTGGAAATTTAAAAAAACAAAAAACAAAAAAACGTAAAAATCTGCTGTTAGAATCAAGGAACCACGGTATTGCATTGGCTTTCTTTATCTGTTATAACCACGAATGCACTTTTCTCAAATTTGAATGCTTTCTCTCTCGCCCAGAGTTTGTTTTTACCAACCTCCTTCCTGACAGCTGTCAGAATTTTCCATACTGGATTTCTGACTCCAATTTTCAGGCTCCCGCTGAGAGTGGAGAGATGCTTGGCTTGCACTGGCATTCTCACGCTACTTCACTTCTGTACTGTCATCGGCTCTTGCTCCTCCCGGACCCGCCCACAACGCCCTCAGTCCTGATTGGACGCCCATGTCCTTTTGTTAGAGCAAAAAGCGGATCCCGGGGCTTTGAGAGAGGATGATTGGGGCGTCGGGCAGCTACTGCGCAGGCGTGCCTTCTTGAGCGGGGATTGGCGGGCGACGGGGCGGGACGGGGCGGGCCCCACGCCTGGGCGCACGCTCCGTGGGTGGAGAGGGTGGGACTGCCGATGTCAGTTGGTCCGAGGGTTCGAGCCTGAGGCGTCCTCCGGAGGCCTCCCCCGCCCGGCGCACCCAGCGGCAGGTGAGGGCGGCCTTGGGCGGCGGAGGGCCTGGCCCTGGGCGACCAGAGATCT